GGTGGACAGAGATCTGCCCCGACAGTACTATCATAGCAACAGTACAATCGTTGTGTGTCCCTGTACAGTTCTGTTAGACAGTGCGTTTATTGAAGTATTATAGTGTATATTAATTCGTGTGACATTAATTCGATTTGGTCATTCTTATGCTCATCCACTTTCATCGCTGTTTTATGTGCTTCCTTTTGCGATTACGAAAAAAATGCATAGAACTTTTTTTATAGAGAATTATATGCTCTACATTTTTTGTTTGATACATTTTTTTGTCACATTCGTACTTTTCAAGATAAATACAAAAAAATCAGAAAAAATCTGTTTTTCAGCGAGTTTTTCAAGATAGCGGCTTCAATGTGTCCGACCGCCAAATTTTATTATCATATTCGTAATCAGGAGGCAAAAATACATCGGAAACACATAGTTACGATTTTTTTTCGAGGGAAGTAGTCTTTCCGAAGGTTTACCCAATATTTTAATATTCTCTATCTTTTAATATAATTAACAATAATTTGATGGTATAATATGTAATTGTGATACTTACAGTGAAGACTATCGGTACTTTCCTCGGCTCCACTATCGCTGCGTGTATCTTCTCCGAGAAGCTGTGTGACATTGGTGCCAAACAAATCTTCACAGTGACGTATTAACATTTCTGTGATTGTCGGTATCGCTCTACTCTGATTCACCGATGGATTTGAGGACCAAAGCAAACTCGGACCGCAACAAACGCCAAGATTGCTGGCACACATGAGATTACGTTTCGATCGCCTCGCCACATGATGCAGTACACAAATTAAATGTGAAAGTAACGTGAAATTTACCCTCGGTAGCCTATCTAAAATGCTGAAAATTTTATCTAATCAGTTTGATTTTAACAAAAATAATTTTATACAATAAAAATAATTTTAACAATAATAACAAATGTAATTAATTTTAAAATAAACTATAATGCAAAAATAAATAAAAACCTTTTAATGGTTTGGACAGGATTCGGCATGTTTAAACTGTCCATCCAGAGGGGAAACAAATGAAAGGTTAAGAGAGGATCCGGCAAAGATCTCAAGAAATCTTTCAGCAAAGCTGCCACTGCTACAATTGGAGCATCTTCCAGACAACTAGGATCTCCTGTGGACTCGATCTGTTCTCGCAACTCTCGAACAATTCGAACATTTGCAGATTTGCGAAATATTCCCTGCATAAAAGGACCTTTTGCGAATAATTGTTGTAACATCACAAGAACAGGTTTGGGCAGACCATTCTCGTCCAACCGCGACAGAGGTACACCAAAAAGGTTCGTATTTAACGATAACGAGCGACGCAACAAGCCGGTTATTTTTGATCGATTGTTCTTTTTTGCGGGTGTCTTCATCACGGGCCTGAGAATAAAATGACATAAGTCGACGCCGCTATTGTTGATGTGCACCAGATCGAAACCCTCATCTGTCGATAGCATGTGTCGTAAACGCGACATCTTTATGGCGAATGGTCGCTCGTGTCCTAGCAACGGATATGGTGATTCGTCCAGAAACGTTTGAGCCCAAAGCTGGAAAAGTCCTTGAAGATCCCACAATGGCATTGCCTCCTTCACGCAATCATGCGCTATCATGTCGGAACGGACCTTGATCGTTTTGAACTGCAAAGTGCGAAAAATAGTACATTTGTATTCATCCTTCTCTAAATTACAAAGGAATAAATAGTACGACACACGGTTTGTCGAAGTTTATTTACTGACGATAAACAATGTTTACATAACGGAAGTTTGTTTGTGATCGAAACAGCTTATACCTTTATAGAATGATGATTGAAGATGAATGTCGGCAAAATATGCAGCGACAATTTTAACTTGACACAGATGTTCGCGATAAAAAACACCTCTCATGAAGAAAAATATTAACAGGAACATCAAATGATCAAATCCCGCGGATTCAAGTATGCGCAAAGACGGGTATACATGTACTTACGTAGTCGGTGTGCGTATCGTTATCATGATATACGATTTGAATGTTCGTCTCTGGTGGCTCCTTCATGCTCTCTTTTTGCACGAGATCACTCAAACGTCCCCACCAGAGATCTCGCGTTACGGCGGTCCTGTAATGATAATTTCACCATGATAACGATAACGATTATAAGCTCTTCAAAACTACTATCAATATTTCATAACATTCAGATTTTAATCGTTATATTTTGAATATAATAAATGTATCAGTTTTGGAAAGAAGCCTGCTTACATGAAAGTAGCTACAACGTTCGTAGTAGGCCAGCCAATGACGAAGCTGGTTTCAGCGGACTTGTTGGTTTCTGCCACGTCTTCTATGTGACCGACCGTGAGCCAAAGCTCACTCATTTTCACAATTTGCTTCAGCTTAAAGTTCCCGCTGCTACGAGCTTTCGCAATCAGCAAAAGATCAGTAAAGAGGAAAAGATGCCTTTCTTGAGATTGCACGCCCTAAAAGTTACAAGTTTTAAAATCCGATTGTCTTAATATTAAACAAGTCTTAATCTTTATCAAAATGTACAAATGTATGCGTAGATTTTAATTTTGATAACTTTTTGAAGCTTTTTGTACCGTAGTGAACTGAACTGGCGTTTCTAAAAGAAAAGTCCTAGTCAGTGATTTCGTGGGAGATAAAGCGTTATCCGTGGTATCCAGAGTCTTCTGAGAAAGTCCTCTTGTTAGCCTGACTGAAGTACTACCATTTCTTTTACGTAACATATTTTTTGTTTTCTGTGAAAACAATTAAATTAGATTAAAATTTAGCGGACGACCAATAACAGTTAACGTTATTTTTAGAAAAAAATTTCTTTTAATTCGATATAATTTACATTTGTTGGCATCCAAATATTTTTAATTTTTTTTTCATAAAAGAAAGAGAAAATGCTTTTGTGTTAGACTATCTAAATAACAAAATCTAAATGCAAAACTTAAGATGTTAAAATGTTTCTTGTAATTTTTTTTGTTTTCAACTCGATCGATAAATTTCGCTTAGAGCGTGCTAATTTTATCGCCGCAAACTAGAGGTGGTAGAAAGACCAATATATGAGCAATGTTATAATAAAATTTAAAGCGTATTTATTGCCAATTGAACCTAAACAGATATTAAATATTATATAGTGAGTAAATGGTGGTATGTTTCGACTTACTTAGTCTTCTACACCCACATTAAATTTATGTAAAAAACAAAAAATAATTATAACATAAAAAAGATAAAGGTTGCTATATTGTTTGATGTCCGAAAAATTTATAATTATTTCTTCATTCAGTAGCGAAAAAAGTAGAGTCAATGTATGAAAAGTGTCATAAGGATACAAAAGGACAAATCCAAAATTGAACAGCAAAAGTAATATATAAGATAAAATCTAAAGATTGCAAGTGTTCTTATGTTGGGCAGGCAAAGCAATAACTGCATACTAGAATCTAAGAACATGTCAACAATATAAAACTGGATTTGTCGAAATACTTTGTAATCTCTGAATATTAAACCATGATCGTTTGATGAATTGGGATAATGTTAAAATTTTAGACACGAAATCGAACTACCACAAGAGATTAATTTCAGAAATGCTACATATAAAAAAAACAATCACATGGCCTAAATTACAAACAGATACAGAGCGATCTCGATAAGTCTTACATATATTTATTAAAAAAAGTATTATAACACACATACTACGTTTACTCTTAATCGGATTTAGTAACGCAACTACTGATGTTAGATGCCACATAAATAGTGCTTTACGCCGATTGCGTCGGTTGTACTAACGCTAATCCTGTTGAGATAAAGAATTAGACTTATAACTTCGGCTTTAAAAAGACGTATAAACGGTATGAGTGTAATAATAAGTCTGGCCGAGTTAACTCGCTACAGTAATTAAGTAAATCGTACTGCCAGCGCTTTAACGTCGAGTGTGAGCGGCGGTTAAATAACTCATTTATCTCAGAGGCCAACGGCAAAAGGTGGAGGAACCTCTGAGGGAGAACGATAAAACCCTAAGTGGAGTAAATGCCACTTAAATCTATCTTGTCATCGAGCAGCAGCGGAGACAATAGCGTTTCTAGACAATAGGCCTTCGGAAAACTTAGCTACATTTTGAAGAATAAGAAGGTATCTATAAACTTAAAAAAGATTTACGAAGCATGTGTATTACTAGTCGTTACTTACGGCTTTGAAACCATCGCATTAACATAACGGTGCGGAGAGACTCCGAGTTACACAGAGAGCCATGCTCGGCATTAGTCTATGTGATAGAATATGAAATGAGATAATAAGACAAGGAACCAAAGTCGCAGATATCGTTTATCGGGTCGCGGCCTTAAAATGGAGATGGGCTGGTCACGTGGCAAAAAGCTTGATGAGAGATGGACTAAAAAACTGCAAACATGAAGACTAAGAACAACAACCAGATTAGGAGACCACAGACAAGATGGCGTGATGACATTGTCTTTCAGGCGGGAGTCAAATGGATACAGACAGCACAGGATAGAGAGACATGGAAGCGTATGGAGGAGGCCTTCGTTTAGGAATGGACTGCGAATGGCTGACAAAGAAGAAGAAGAAGAAGGTATGAGTGTAATAACAATCGTATTGTGCCAACCTGAAATATGGTCGAATAAGACAATCATTCCATTCTTAGAGGAATAGCTACATGATAGACTTCTAAGATCGATGTTAAGATCAATGTAAGAGAAATACAGATGAAATAAACTCTTGGGTATAGACAAACAAGGAGTTATATTGGGAGTGTGCATTAATTTTAAAGAATTTCAAGAGATGGCGTAACTAATACTATATCGCATCGGGCCACATTGTTGCTACCTCAATGTCAAAGCACCATCATGTGGCATTAGTTTTTAGTATGTGTTATTTACTTATTTTGCCGAAGTGTAAACAATATTGTTTTTTTGAGCATTGAATATGTCGAATTTTGTGCCAACAAAACGCAATTTGCGGGAAGCTCTGCTTTTTTGTTTCTATTTGAAGAAAAGTGCTGCTGAAAGTCAACGAATACTGTCGGAAGCTTATGGTGATTATATTTCATCAATTTCAATATGTGAATACTGGTTTCGAAGCTGTAAAAAAGGTGATTTTGACATGGAATACAAGGAATAGCCAAACCAGCCGAAAAAGATTGAAGATAAAGTGGAAGCTTTACTCGATGAAGACCCGAGTCAAACGCAAGAAGAATTTGCAGAATCTGTAAATGTTGATCGATCAACGATTTCCAGGCGTTTGAAGACCATTGGAATGATTCAAAAGCAAAGAAATTAGATGCCGTACGAGTTGAACCCGAGGACACAAAAAAGACCTGTGAATTATTGTTTCAAAGACACAAAAGAAAAAGTTTTTTTTGCATCGTATCGTGATGGGTGATGAAAAATGGATACGCTATGATAATCCGAAGCGTAAAAAATCATGCAGGCCAGGCGAACCATCAACATCGACGGCAAAACTGAATATTCATGGCGCCAAGCTCATGCTCTGTATTTGGTGGGAACAGCTGAATATAACGTATTATGAACTGCTCCAATGAAACCATCACTGTGGAACGCTACCAACAACAATTGATGCAATTGAGCCGGGCATTGAAGCAAAAACGGCTAGATTACGCAAAAAGACACGACAACGTGATTTTCTAACACAACTACGATCGGCCATATTGCGAAACCGGTCAAGGAAACGTTAGAAACGCTTAACTGGGATGTCCTACTACACACGCCGTATTTTCCAGATATTGCTCCTTCTGATTACCACCTATTTCAATCGATGACTCATGGTCTGTCTGAGCAGCGCTTTCATTCTTATGAAGATATCAATAAATGGATCGATTCGTGGATAACTTCAAAAGATGTGTCGTGCTTTTTATGTGGAATCCACTTATTACCAGAAATATGGAAAGAAGTAGTGGCTAACGATGGATAATATTTTAAATAATCAATTTTTAACCATTTTTTTTTTAAATAAAGCCGTATTTTTACCAAAAATTCCTTAAAATTAATGCACACTTCCAGTAATTACGAATGTCATTAAATTCGGGTGCTGTGTAAACATAGTTATGGACAGTTAGTCCCTCACTTTGCTATAGAAAATGCATATTGTCGCAGTCGCCGAACTGAAGTTGGCTGAAGATTGTTAGGTTCTACCCCGAACAGTAAAGACCGGCAACTTCTCGACATGTTTACACTTATACGTCGATGACTTGTACCCGTTGATAATAGAATACATATTTTCTAAAAATAATACATTTAATTAAAAATTAAAAACATTTAATTTAAAACAGTTCAAATAATAAGGGGCAAAGAGCCGATAATGTAACAAAATTAAACCTTTATTTTAAATATAATATGTAGCTACAATTTAACAAACGTTTTGATTCCGGTAGGATCATTTTCAATGTTACAATTTAAAACAAATACATTCGTTATACAAAATTCGTTATCCTACAAAAATTAACAGTGCATCAGATAAGATGAAAATTCGGATTGTGCAAAATTTGGTATTCTAAAAAATTTTTTCACGAGCAAATTTAAAAATAATTAATCGTGAAAAAGAGGAAATAAATAAAAATTAATATTATATATAAACATATAGTATACCTCCATAATATCCATAATATCAGTAGAAAGTTCATAAATAAGTAAAAAATACAAATGTGATATCAAAATTAAGTATACCAAATACATTGTAACAGAAGCGAATTTGCAGAGCTGTCACACTCATCTCAACCAAGTCAGATAACGCAATGTCAAGAAGAAAAACATGCTGGTCATAGAGGATGTAGGAAGGAAGGAAAGGATAAATATTAGGAAGGGGAAAGAGAATGTATCATATTGGAATCATCTCTAGTAATGAATCCATGTCATTTTGTTTATTCCACGTTTCTGCTTCTTTATATGCACCATTTCAGAAATTAACCTTTTATTGTAAGCAGGTTCAATGTCTAATATCTCAACTTTGTCACTTATTGTATTAACGATGTTCCAGCAAAAGAATCTAATTAATGCCATTAACATTTTTTTAAATAATGGATACCCTTTATCTTTCATTTTTTCTATTATCCAAAACAGAATTAAATTCCATATTAACAATATGTCCAATAACAACATTAATATTAAAAAGTTTTTCACTATCCTATATGTCAATACAATTTCGTAAAAATTTAAACCTATTGTTAATATGTTTAATTGTAAACTGGCTTTCACCATTCTGAACACATTAAAAAATTTCATTAAAAGAAGTAAGGATAAACTGGAACAAACTTGCAATCTGAATGTAGTTTATAAAATATCACGTGATGATTGTAACGCGAGTTATGTTGGTCAAACGAAAAGACAATTAAAAACGAAAATACATGAGCACATTTCAGATATCAATAAAATTTCAAAGTCGCCTTCGGTAATTTCTAATCACCGTATTGAGATGAATCATAATTTTAAGTGGGACAAAGTTGAGATATTAGCATTGGACCTGCATACAATAAAAGGTTGATTTCTGAAATGGTGCATATAATGAAGCAGAAACATGGAATTAATAAACAAACAAAATGACATGGATTCATTGCTAAGTATTCCAATATGATACATTCTCTTTTCCCTTCCTAATATTTATCCTTTCCTTCTTTCCTACATCCTCTGTGACCAGCATGTTTTCCTTCTTGACATTGCGTTATCTGACTTGATTGAGATGAGTGTGACAGATCTGCAAATTCGCTTCTGTTATAATGTATTTGGTGTACTTAATTTTGAAATCAAATTTGTAT